AGTTAGCTGGGCGTGGGCACGGTGGCAGGCGCCTGTAATCCCAGCTACTAGGGAGGCTGAAGCAGAATAATCGCTTGAACCCGGGAGGCGGAGGTTGCAGTGCGCTGAGATTGCGACATTGCACTCCAGCCTGGGCGACAGAGAGACTCTGTCAAAAAAGTAAAATAGGCCGGGCGCGGTGGTTCTTGCCTGTAATCCCAGCACTTTGGGAGGCCAAGGCGGGCGGATCACGAGGTCAGGAGATCAAGACCATCCTGGCTAACACGGTGAAACCCCGTCTCTATTAAAAATACAAAAAAATTAGCAGGGCAAGGTGGCGGGCACCTGTAGTCCCAGCTACTCGGGAGGCTGAGGCGGGAGAATGGCATGAACCTGGGAGGCGTAGCTTGCAGTAAACCGAGATAAAAAATTAGCCAGGCGTGGTGGCGCGTGCCTGTAGTCCCAGTTACAGGAGAATCGCTTGAACCCAGGAGGCGGAGGTTGCAGTGAGCCAAGACCACGCCACTGCACTCCAGCCTGGGAACAGAGTGAGACTCCGTCTCAAAATAAATAAATAAATAAATAAATAAATAAATAAATAAATAAATAAAGGAAATCCATTTAACTTTAAAGAAAACATAACAATGAAACATATATATGTATAGTTAACTCTTCTCTCCTCTGTAGGTACAAAAAAAGGAAAGCTGAGGCTTAAAATAAGTTCGGGGAAAGCAGAACTGCCTTAGACTAACAATGTCAGGGCTGGTGATGCCCTCTTGTGGCATCCTGGAGAATTACTGCCATCTGACTTCATTTCCTCGGACTTGGAGGGACTATTCCCTCACAATACCTCAGTCACTGATTCATGCATGCCAGGCATTGTCCTAACAGTATCCCTGTCCTCGTGGAGTTTACAGTCAGGTGGAGGACATACAATTAATAAACATAATAAGGTAATGCTGTGGAAAAAAATAACAGAGTAAGATGGGAAGGGAGATGATGAGTGTAGAGAGTTGTAGTGTGCATTGCAATTTAAAAAGAGTAGGCCTTCTTGTAGAGTTGAAGAGAGGTAGGGGAGTGAGCCATGTGGATATATGGGGTGAAGTTCTAGGCAGAGTGAACAGTCAGTACAATAGCCTTGAGACAAGAGCTTGTTTGCCAATTTTTTTTTTTTTTTTGAGACAGAGTCTTCCTCTGTCACCCAGGCTGGAGGGCAGTGGCCTGATCTCGGCTCACTCCAAGCTCCGCCTCCCGGGCTCATGCCATTCTCCTGCCTCAGCCTCCCGAGTAGCTGGGACTAGAGGCGCCCGTCACCACGCTCGGCTAATTTTTTGTATTTTTAGTAGAGACGGGGTTTCACTGTGTTAGCCAGGATGGTCTCGATCTTCTGACCTCATGATCCGCCCGCCTTGGCCTCCCAAAGTGTTGGGATTACAGGCGTGAGCCACCGTGCCCAGCCTGTTTGCCAATTGCAAAAAAAAAAAAAAAAAAAAAAAAAACAGCAAGGGAGTCCATTGTGCCTGGAGCAGAGTGAAGGAGAGACAGAGGCAGAAGAGGGAAACCTGAGCACCCAGGGCCTTCATTCAGCAAAGTGGGGAGCCCTGCAAGGTTTCAGCACAGTGACAGAATCTGAAGCTTAAAAGGATAACCCTGGCTGTCATATTAAAAAGAGAACAGGTATTGACCAGGCACGGTGGTTCACGCCTGTAATCCCAGCACTTTGGGAGGCCAAGGTGGGCAGATTACTTGAGCCCAGGCGTTCGAGACCACCCTGGGCAACATAGTGAAACCCTATCTCTAAAGTAATAAAAATAATAATAGGCTGGGCCTGGTGGCTCATGCCTGTAATCCCAGTACTTTGGGAGGCTGAAGTGAGTGGATAATTTGAGGTCAGGAGTTCGAGACTACCTTGGCCAACATGGTGAAACCCCGTCTCTACTAAAAATACAAAAATTAGCTAGGCGTGGTGGCAGGAGCCTGTAATCCTAACTACTTGGGAGGCTGAGGCAGGAGACCTGCTTGAGCCCAGGAGGTGGTGAGTGCCAGTGTGCCTAGATCATACCACTGCACTCCAGCCTGGGTGACAGAGTGACATTTCATCTTAAAAAAAGAAAAGAGAAGAGGAAGAGGGAGAAAAGCAGAATAACGTTGCAGAGAGATGATAGTGGCTCAGCCCAGAATATTAGCAATAGAGGTAGTGAGATATGGTTGGATTCTGGATGTATTTGGAAGATAAAGCCAACAGATCTAATAGATATGGATGCTAAAGACAGACATCAAAAAGCACTCCACTATTTTGTTTTGTTTTATAGGAAGGATGAGTTGCCATGAGTTGAATGGGGGAAAGTGGCGCAAGATTAGGAGTTCAGTTTTAGACACAATGAGGTGGAAATATTTTGCTGGAAATAGAAATGTAGGAGTCATTGGCCTATAATGATACTTAAAGTTCTGAGACAGGATGAAATCAGCAGGGTGTAAAGCCAGATAGAAAAGAGACTCCAGACCAGGAGCCCTGCCTCACTCCAACTTGAATGAGACTGAATTGAAGAGGAGAAATCTTCAAAAGAAAAAACAAGACTATGCACACTCAAGCCAGGCACAGTGGCTCATGCCTACAATCCCAGCACTTTGGGAGGCCAAGGCAGGAGGATCACTTGAGCCCAGGAGTTGGAGACCACCCTGGACAACATAGTGAGACCTCATCTCTACAAAAAAAGAAAAAAAAAAATTAGCTGAGTGTGGTGGTGGCACACACATGTAGTCCCAGCTACTCCGGAGGCTGAGGCATGAGAATTGCTTGAGCCTGGGAAGCAGAGGTTGCAGTGAGTCGAGATTGCACCCCTGCACTCCAGCCTGAGCAACAGAGTGAGACCCTGTCAAAAAAAAAAAGAAAAAAAAGGCTGGGTGTGGTGGCTCAGGCCTATCATCCCAGCACTTTGGGAGGCCGAGGCAGGCAGATCATGAGGTCAGGAGTTCGTGACCAGTCTGGCTAAGATGGTGAAACCCCATCTCTACTAAAAATACAAAAATTAGCTGGGCATGGTAGTGCGCGCCTGTAGTCCCAGCTACTCGGGAGGCCGAGGTTGCAGTGAGCTGAGATGGTGCCACTGCACTCCAGCCTAGCGATACAGCAAGACTCTGCCTCAAAACAAAAAAACCCAAAAAAACAAAAAACAAAAAAACAAAGACTATGCACACTCCAGCCCCTCCTGGAAGAACCTACCTTTTTCCAGAAATCCTCAACCCAGTCTCCACCTACCTGCCCTAAGAACCCTTAAGATCTCCCCTTTACCAGGCCCCTCCCCCTGGGAGAAGGTGCTTGGAGCATTAGCTCCCCTTCTCCATTCCTATGATTCAAGATTTTCTTCTTGGTGACTTTGCAAGCTGGGGACCTCCGGCTAGCAATGCCCTACCAGGTCTCACTCGCCAGGTTACCTGCTGCAGGACATGGCCTTTACTTGCTGCAGGAGACGACCCACCCACTCAGCCCACTTGGCGGAGTCTAGCTTAAGCACTGGTTCTGGAGTTCTCATCCCACGAGCCCAAGAAGAATGAGGAGGCACTGACAATTGAAGAGTGAGCAAGGTGGGGTTTTACCGAGTGATAAAACAGCTTTTGGTGGCCTTGGGGGGTGGTCCCCCTACCTGAAAGTGGGAAAGTTCCCCTAATATGGCTGAGTCCAGTGCTTCTATGGGCTCAGAATGGGGGAAGGGCAGGCCATAGGTAGTACTGGAAAAGGCAACATTCAGTTGGTTAAAAGACATTATTCAAAAAGAATCAATCAGGAAAGGGTAGACAAAAAGAAACAGAAGTTCTCATTCTGGATTGTGGGTTTCATCCAGGACCAGCAATTGGTCTTTCAGACTTCAGGCTGTTTTTGACTTGAAGGTGGGGTTTCACTGGGCACCCACCCCTATCTGCCTAGGCATTCGGCCTCCTCCTGTTGCTGTCTCCTAGATCAATGAATAAAGCTTCTGCTGTGCTTTATGGAACCTGGCCTTGTTCTGTTGGTGCAAATGGTACCAGGCATGGAAAGGACCCGTTAGGATCAAATGACCCCCTTTAATTTAACAGCCGGAGAAAAACCAGGTGGGCAGGGTGTTCTGGAGGGACCCAGGGAGTGGAGGGGAGGCCCTCTATTCAGGCTATGCCCTTGAACCTTCCAGGGTGTTGGTGGCCCTTCCCTCTGGATCTGCTTTTTTTTTTGAGAAGAAGTCTCGCCTTGTCGCCCAGGCAGGAGTGCAATAGTGTATCTTGGCTCACTGCAGCCTCTACCTCCCGGGTTGAAGTGATCTTCCAGCCTCCTGAGTAGCTGCGATTACAGGTGTGTGCCACCACACCCGGCTAATTTTTTATTTCTTTTTTCTTTTTTTTTTTTTTTTTGAGACGGAGTCTCGCTCTGTCGCCCAGGTTGGAGTGCTGTGGCCGGATCTCAGCTCACTGCAAGCTCCGCCTCCCAGGTTTACACCATTCTCCTGCCTCAGCCTCCCGAGTAGCTGGGACTACAGGCGCCCGCCACCGCGCCCGGCTAGTTTTTTGTATTTTTTTTAGTAGAGACGGGGTTTCACCATGTTAGCCAGGATGGTCTCGATCTCCTGACCTTGTGATCCACCTGTCTCAGCCTCCCAAAGTGCTGGGATTACAGGCTTGAGCCACCGCGCCCGGCCTTATTTTTAATTTTTTTAGTAGAGACGGAGTTTGACCATGTTGGCCAGGCTGGTCTCGAACTCCTGACCTCAGGTGATCCACCTGCCTCAGCCTCCCAAAGTGCCAGGATTACAGGCGTGAGCCACTGTGCCTGGCCTGTTTTTGAGATGGGATCTTGCTTTGTTGTCCATGCTGGCTTCCAACTCCCGGCCTCAAGAGATCCTCTTCCTTCAGCCTGCAGAGTAGCTAGGATTACAGGTGCAAGCCACTGTCCTAAACTTGGACGTGCTTTTTAACTTGAGGAGCACAGGCACCACCACCTGTCATCATAGCTCTCACTTGACCTCCCTTCCCCTCCACACACACAAAGAACAGACAGGTATCAAGGCTGTTTATTGACTCTTCACAGCCAGCGGTTCTCCCTCTGCCCTTCTGGGGTGCCTAATCCCCGTCTCCCCCCCTGGAGCCAAGTGGAGTGGCTCTGAGCTTGACCCCAGATGCCTTCCTCTTGCCAGGCTTCCCTGCCCCGCAGCCTTGGCCTTCCTGGTTTGCCACAGGGGCTGTTACTCCTTTGATTCCACATCCTCCTTCTCGAAGTGTGTGAGGTAGGCCATCTGAGCCGAATCATGCGAGCCATAGAAAATGTTCATGTTGTAGGAGCTGCCATGGAGGCGCAGGGCTGCAGGCAAGAAAGGCGGACATGAGGCTGTGCAGGCGGCACCTGCGCCCCGCTTCCTTCGTCCCACACTCACCTTTGGTAACATTGACTTTGTTGGCCGCCAAGATGTCTGCCTGAATGCTGTCTAATTTCATGTACAAGTCCTCAGCGTTGCTCTGAGGACAGGAGCAAGGGGGACCCAGCTGGGGTGCCAGGGCAGTCTGGACTTGGAGTTGGGCTTGGCAGAGGGATGTTGCAGGTGGGGGGCGAGTTGGCAGCCTGACCGAAAGGGCAGGAAAGGGAACAGGAAGGTGGCGGGTGGAGGAGCCTAGGCCAGAGCAGTCCCTCCTGCAGCTGGTGGCCAGGTCCACTCTGCATGTGGAACGTTCCAGGATGGGGACTGTGTGAAGGGGCACCACACTGTCCGAGTCGCCGTCTGAGGGCGCACTTACCAGGAAGAGCTGGTAGAGTTCCTCTCCCATGCCCTTGCGCACGTGCTCCGCCACCAACGGGAACATCTGCACGAAGCACTGCGCCGCGCGGGCGGGGCGGCGTGACTGCGGGGGCGGCGGGACGGTGGCTGCCGCCGCCCTTCCCGCCCCCTCGCTAGCCGCAGTGCGCACCTCCAGCGTGAGGCTGGCCAGCCGCTGGCTGTTGCTGTGGTCCATGTTGCCCATGGCGGCCATTAGGCCGTGCACCACGTGCAGGTACAGCAGCTCCTCGGCGATGCTCATGTCGTTGCGTGCCAGGACCCTGGGCCGGGGGATTCGGGCTGGGCAGATGCCCTGGGCTCACCCGGCGCACACCCCCGCCCACCCGGCGCACAGCGTCCTGAGCGCTCCCGGGGCCCGCGGGCAGCGCCAAACCAGGCTTGTGGCCACCCACTACCCTCTGCCCGCTTACCCGATGGCCTTGGCGGCCGCGGCCTGCTGCAAAAACATCGGCAGGCTGGGGGCGAGCTGGAGAACCGAGGGGTCTGAGGAGGGGGCGGCCGTGAGGCAGGAGACCCCCCTCCCTTGGCCCAGGCAGCCCCATCTGAGCAGGTCCCTACCACTGAGGATCTTGGCCTGCAATTTGGAGGTCTCCTTGACCGACGGTATCAGCAGCGCCACGAGGCCCTTGAGCAGCGCCTGGCGCACATCGTAACCCACCAGGTCCTTGATCAACTCGATGGCTGGGGAAGGGCAGAGGTGCTGGTGAGAGGCCCCAGGCCCCTCCGCCACCGAGGAAGCAAAGAACCCCGTGAACCAAGTCGCCACTCGTCACTGTCCTCCTCTCGACCTTTTACTGACCAGCACTGTGCAGGGCGTGGGGAAGCTGGGAGAGCGAACCTCAGTTGAAGAGCAGGAGGCGGGGGCTGAACGGGGAGGAGGAAGGGTTGTATGGTGAGTCCACCTGTCAAGGCGGCCTAGGATGTCAGCGCTGGAGGCTGAGAGGCCCCAGAGAGGTGGACCTTCGCCTTGGAGGAATCCAGGTTCCATGGAGGAGGGAAGTGCTGGGTCTTTATAGGAAGACAAGATGGAGAAAGACAAGGGGTGAGAGGGAGACAGAGAAAGTGGGTGAGAGACTTGTGGCAGGAAATGAGAAAGGGGACGCAAGGTAGGCACTCCTTCTAACTATCGTCGAGCCCTCTCCACCAGGCACGCTGCCAGGCTTCCCATACAGCATCCATGGAAGCTCTCCAGAACCAGATGAGGTTCACTTCCCCGTTTTACCTTTGCCAAAATTAGGCACAGAGAGGTAAACCACTTTGCCTAAGCTACACAGCTAGGAAATGGTGGAAGCAGAAGGAGGGGAGGATTTGGTTAGGAAGGAGAAAGGGACTAGAATTTATGGAGGGCATTTCCTGCAGGCTTTCCTGTAGATATTTTACAGGCGTTCATTCAGTCCAGCATTCACTCAGCCTTTTGGCACGGCTGCATGTGAATGCCTATCGTGCCAGGCGCGGCATTGGGTGTTGAAGATACAGACTGAATTCATTCATTCGACCAACCCTCCGTAAGCATGCACAAACAGGCAGCGATGATATGGTGACAGGTGCTGTGGAAGGAGTCAGTGGTTGGGCTGTGGGAGCACCAGAGAAAATCGGCAAGGATTGAATGTTTTTGTAAAGAAGAGAAAGGAACTACAGAGGTAGAGGGGGCAGGAGGAGATGCTAAGGCAATGGCACACCAGCGTAAATGCTACCCTTTTTTTTTTTTTTTTTTTTTTTTTTTTTTTTTTTTTGAGACGGAGTCTCACTCTGTCGCTCAGGCTGGAGTGCAGTGGCACGATCTTGGCTCATTGCAACCTCCACTTCCTGGGTTCGAGAGATTCTCCTGCCTCAGTCTCCCGAGTAGCTGGGATTACAGACGCCCGCCACCATGCCTGGCTAATTTTTTTTGTAGTTTTGGTAGACACAAGGTTTCACCATCTTGGCCAGGCTGGTCTTGAACTCCTGACCTCGTGATCCACCCTCCTCGGCCTCCCAAAGTGCTGGGATTGCAGGCATGAGCCACCGCACCTGGCAGGCAAATGCTACTTTTTTTTTTTTTTTTTTTTTTTTTTGAGACAGAGTTTCACTCTTGTCACTCAGGCTGGAGTGCAATCCCTCACTGCAACCTCTGCCTCCCAGGTTCAAGCGATACTTCTGCCTCAGCCTCCCAAGTAGCTGGGATTACAGGCGTCTGCCACCACGCCCTGCTAATTTTTGTATTTTTAGTAGAGACAGGGTTTCACCATGTTGGCAAGGCTGGGCTTGAACTCCTGACCTCAGGTGATCCACCTGCCTCGGCCTCTCAGAGTGCTGGGATTACAGGCATGAGCCACTTCGCTGGCCTTTTTTTATTATTATTATTTAAATTTTACTTTTTTTCTGAGACAAGGTCTTACTATGTTGTCCAGGCTGGTCTTGAACTCCTGGGCTCAAGTGATCCTCCTACCTCTGCCTCCTAAAGTGCAGGATTATAGGTGTGAGTCACTGTGCACCCGCCACTGCTACTCTGAACACATGTGGCAGCTACATGGAAGATAGAACTTGACTACCAGCTCAGTAGTCAAGTGCCTCTCTCTCTCCATTTACCAGTAAGATAGAGGGTTTAGGGGAAGTCCTTGTTCCCCACTCAGCTCATTTGCATCCCAGAATGCAATGTAGATATGATAATTATTACCAGGGTTATCTGCTTGAATAATAATATTTAAAAATTTTTTTCTTTGTCAGGAGATTTTACCCAGTGAGAAATGTTTAGGACAATTTTCTAGAGTGGAAGAAAAGCTTCTGTCTGCGGGTCCAAAGGCACCGTAACTGTAGAGGGATCAGTCAATATCAGGGATGCCAGGCACCAGGGTAGTAGCTATGCTCTGGTTTCTCTTCATAACGAATAAATCTTTCGCCTTTTACTAAAGATTTCCGTGGAGAGAAACAATTGTGAGTTTGCTGCTAAATTTTTTGAAGCCCTGTTTAGGCAGGGCTAAGTATCTAGTTTGATAAAAACAGGCATCTGAATGTGGTGTTTTATGCTTCTTGGTCTTTGCATTCTGGGAGGATGGAGTGGACCTACTAAAATCTAATTTAGTGTGTTGGCGGTACAGCCAATCCTAGTTACTTGCAGTTCTGGGGTAGGTTAAGGGTTTCACTATGTTGGTCAGGCTGGTCTCGAACTCCTGACCTCAAGTGATCCACCTACCTCAGCCTCCTAAAGTGCTGAGATTACAGGCATGAGCCACTATGCCCGGCATGCTTTGCCTTTTGATGCTGTTAGTTGCTTCGGGATCAGCAAACGGCCTCAACTTTGAGGGCTGGCTTACCTTTCTGGGTTCTCAGCTTCCCCTGGATTTTGGTATGATAATTCTTCATTGTACTGCTCTCCAATGCTATTAATAAGACTACATTTTTTTTTTTTTTTTTTGTAGATATTTTAGTAGTTCCAGGAGGGATATTTGTTGAAATTGCCCAGCCCACTATGATCAGAAAGATAAGTCTTCTTTTTTTTTCCTGGAGATGGAGTTTCACTCTTGTTGCCCAGGCTGGAGTGCTATGGTGCGATCTTGGCTCACCACAACCTCCGCCTCCCAGGTTCAAGCGATTCTCCTGCCTCAGCCTCCCGACCAGCTGGGATTACAGGCATGCACCACCACGCCCAGCTAATTTTTTGTACTTTTAGTAGAGACAGGTTTCTCCATGGTGGTCAGGCTGGTGTCTAACTCCCAACCTTAGGTGATCCACCCACCTCCGCCTCTCAAAGTGCTGGGATTACAGGTGTGAGCCACCATGCCCGGTCCAGAAACGCTTCGTATGACCAACCAGCCACTGCCGTTGGGCTGCCTCTTTCTTCCAGGTCTTCCAGGGTAGCCCTCGCAATCCCATCTGCCCATCCTCTGCAGCCTCTGGTTGCCCAGATGTGGTCCTATTTTGGAATCAAAGGCCCAGCAACATTGTGGAGGGAAAGGGACAAGCCCCGGGAAGGTGCAAAGCACTCAAGCTTCCCTGGCTTCCCCCAAACACTCTGATCTGAATAGAATGGCAGACTGGACAACTCTGGCTGCGTGGCAGCCGCAGCCTGCACTGGCTGGTGCCTGAAAGTGTTTCTCACTTGTTCTACTATTTGGTTTCTTCCCTCTTCTTGAATTGGTGCAGCTCATTTTTTTGGAGCCAAGTGGCCTGGCCCCTCATGCATCTGATGACACTTGGCTTTGTTGCCTGCAGCACATCCCTCATTAGTAGTTGGGCTCTTTCCAGACACAAGCTGGCAGCATGTAATGCCAGGACATCCTGGGCAAATGTCTGCCTATGCCCAAGAGCTCTTCCTGCAGCGAGACATGACTTGGTGGACATTCAGGGTAGAAACGAATGGGTGAAGATATTTTTATGAAAATTTCCTGACCACAAATAGCATTTTCTGCCCATGTAGAACCAAATACTCCAGGAGACAAACGTCTAGTTCTGACTATTCGATTTACACTAAATGCTTAATCTTTTGCTAATTATGTATTTGTAACACTTGGAGCTACTTGGAAAAATGAAGATTTATTCACTGAATCGTTTTTGACTGAGTTTTAAAATTCACAGCTGTGACTGTTTATACCCAAAGTGAAAGTACTGGTCTCTGCCCAAATGTCTTCACAGGAACCACAGCCAGCTACAACTCTTCATCTATCGTGCCAGTTACTACGAAGGGCAATTCCTTCAGAAAGCAAAGGACAACAAAAGACTATCTTTGGCAGCTTTGCCTAAAGCCTGTGGTGCTGATAACACCCAAATGTCCTAAAGCTGAGCAATCACTGATTTATTCATTGATTCATTCATTTAACAAAATTCTCATTGAGCATCTTGTCTGTGCCAGGCCTCTGGGCTTGGGCTATGAAGAGGACTAAGATCTAATCACTGGCCTTAGGGACATCACAGCTGAGTGGGGGACACCAATAGGGAGACTGGCATTTATGATGCAGTGTTATCAGGGCCATGGGAACACAAAGGAAGCCAGGCTGGTTGATGGAGTGGAGATGATAGGGGATGGAGAATCAGGAGAAGGATTCCTTGGAGAAGGTGATGCTTGAATTGGCAAAACCATGGGGAGAAGGGAGGGGCTGGAATGTAGAATGTGGCAAGTGCCATGTTGGATAGTGCCATGTCACACTTGTGGCCAGGCAAGGGAGATCTGGTTGGGAAATAGGGATGCTGGGCCATGCATCAGAGCTAAGCCTGTGGAGGTGGGCCAGCTCCATCTTCTGAGGGGCTTTGCATGTGCCAACAACCCAATACAGCAGGTATTTTTCTCATCTTTCATTTCAGAGAAAAGGAAGGCTCAAAAAAGTTGGGTAGCTCGCCCAGGATGAGATAGCTAATAAGAATAGTTTTGATTCCAGGCCAGGCGCGGTGGCTCATGCCTGTAATCCCAGCACTTTGGGAGGCTGTGGCGGGTGGATCACAAGGTCAGGAGTTCAAGACCAGCCTGGCCAAGATGGTGAAACCCCGTCTCTACTAAAACTACAAAAATTAGCCAGGTGCAGTGGCAGGCGCCTGTAATCCCAGCTACTTGGGAGGCTGAGGCAGAAGAATCTCTTGAACCCAGGCGGCAGAGGTTGCAGTGAGCCGAGACTGCGTCACTGCACTCTAGTCGGGGTGACAGAGTGAGACACTATCTCAAAAAAAAAAAAAAAAAAAAAAAAGTTCTGATTCCAAAGCCCACATTCTTC